TGCTGTTTTGGATTTCTGGAAATTTCACCAGTGTGCGTCGACCATATAGTCGGCGTGTGCTGACCCGTTGAAATCCATTTCCTTTGTGCGCCGACCTATGGTCGACCCATTGCTTTTATGCGTTGACCCGCTGGAATGTCATTCCTTCATGCGCTGACCCTATGGTCGACGCATGCTTTGTGCACTGACTTATTTCCCCTTTTTCTGATGAATACGCCGACCCTATGGTTGACCCATGTCCTGCAAGCCTGCAGAAATTCATTAGTTTGAAGTTTTTCATGCCTTTAGTCATGATTGCATTTTGTCAACACAAAATATATTCATTTCAGAAATTTTAAGATAAGCGAAAGAAGGATATGGTGGGTGATACGTTGCATCTGGTTTAGTGGATCTGGAACTCATACTTTCCAATCTATCCTGGGAATTTGTCATCATCGAAACCTGCATTTACCAATGTCTTGCAGACTTGTGTGATATGTGGCGATTTGCCTCCACAACCATGTGATATCATATCAATATATTTGACCGGTAAATTAGCAAGTGTACTATTTTCACCGATGTAGTGATAAGGGAAAATTCCCCGAATGTCGATCTCTGAGGACTGCGTGTAAATTTTTAGGAAAAACATGTTATTTCAATCAGACAAAATAACACTGGGTTTCGTTTGGCAACAGGATTAGGAACAAGTAAAATAATAGACTTTATAGATTAAAATAAGATCAATGTTAGGAAAGTGGATAAATTGCTAGTAAAGACCTTAAAGAATTCTTCTGAGATATTTGTTTCCGACCTTTAAAAAAATCAAATTTCAAAAGTAGTTTTCCTTAATTCCTTAATGAAAAACCCTTCGATGAATTTCATGCACACTAATTCCTTAGTTGCCCACGAAAATCATCAAGCAATAGTTCTGACATAAAAAAACACGTTGCTACGGGATACCCCCATTCCTAGGAAATATCAACCGTAACATTATTTTGCAAAAGCATTAGGTCGACTTTCCAGACAAAACCTAATCGTAAATCAAATTTTATTTTCCAATATGAATTAGCCTAAAGATCGTTGCAAAATAAAAGCCATAAGGTGAACAACAAAAATCTCATAGAATAATCCCAACAAAGGTCAATACATCGCAATTTAGGACCACCCCCTAACAATTGGGGGTTTAGCCACTCATAATATTCGATAAAAACAACATGATAATTAGAAACATTACAATAGTATTAGGAGTGAATTCGATCTTCAATTTCTTCCGAGCATGAAAATCTCCTTGTCCTCCCAATTCTCCAGAGCTTCAATCTCTCGTTGTATTTTTTCGTATAATCCAAAAGTCCCTTCTCCTTTCTCCAAACACGTAACAAATAGTCACAATTCCAACTCGGCACTAGGGAAATACCCACAATACCCTTGGGGATCACAAGAGTAAAAAATATAAGAAAAATAGGAAAAAAAACGCTTCCTGCAACACGGGCCGTGTCAGGAAACACGGGCGACCGTGTTGGCTTCCTGACACATTTTTCGCGTGAAATTTCCACGTCCCAGGTGTCCTGACACGGGCCGTGTCACACAACACGGGCACCCGTGTCAGGCCACTGTTTTACACCAAAAATCACCTTTTCTGAGAAAATACTGCAACACGGGCCGTGTCACATAACACGGATACCCGTGTTGCGCCCCTGTTTCGAATTTGACTTCGACTCCAACATGAAAGTCGTAGCTCTCTCTCTTAGCTTTCCGACAGTTTTTAGAACGCCTCAAACGGATTCCAGGAACTCCAGTTATGATCGTTTCCGTGCAGACTGCTAAAGATTTCACAACAAAACTCTTTCGAAATCTTGTCATTTTTCCCCGGTTTTCGCTCTGCTTCTCCTTTATTGTATACCTGACCTAGAAACAGTGAAAATACCAAATAGACGTGTAAAATGTAATAAAAACAACTAAAATGCGACAAGACAAAACAAATGATTAACTGAAATAAACGGTAAAATAACGTGTAAAAACCACCGATCAATATTCAAATATTATTTTTTTTGGAAAAGCAAAATTTTATTAACAACACACACCAACAACATAAGGCATCATGCTAATGAGACCAAAATACAAATAATAGTTCACCACCAACACCAAAAAGGAGCCAAATAAACCCTCTACAAACAGAAACAAACCAAAATTAAACCCCCAACAAACACCCTAAACACCAATATCCACCAAAACAATACAAAGATAGCGTTAAAAAAACATTGCAAACAAACTGCAAATGAAAAACTCTAAAACACCAGCACCCCTGCTTGCGACATTGATTGAGCAAAAGCTAGAAAATGCAACCAACAAAAGAAAACAGACTGACCCAGGCACAACATATACAATAACCGAGCCTCAACTAGATGCCTTCAGCCTAGGATAGAGTACACCATACATCTCAGACGCACAAACGAAGGCAGCTGCGCGAACACACCTCCCCTTTGAGACGAACCTAAGAGCCAAATCAAATAGACATCAAGCAAGGACTGCCAACACAAAAGGTCCCTCCAGCTTGAAGCAAGATCACTAACACCCGGAACCAGTAGCATTCCACTACACACAACAAGAAATCCACTTTTAGATGCAAGAGCAAAAAAGATAAAACATAACTGCTTGGAACAGGAAACTCAACAATGAAACCGCTGCTTGAAACTACTACAACTTGCCTTATGCATACAAAATTGTGAAATAGAACAAGCAGCCAACACTCACCAAACGAACAAGGGCCAAAACCTAAACGAAGACCCTAACCCAAGGATGAGCCTAGGATTCACGTGCTGTTGGATCAAGCTATAACTAAGGAACTTGTATTTGCCTCTCAACCAATTTCATGATAGCCTTTGGATATTTTCCAAAATCTGCTAAGTGGATTCAACTTTGATCTTGAAAATCATGTTGTTTCTAGCCTTCCAAATGCTCCAAAGGCCCACGAACCATACCTCTTATTAGGCCTTTTTTTATAATCTCTCCACCGTACTCGATGACAGATTTGAACTGCTTGTTATGATCTCGGTTGTCTCTAGAAAGATGAGTGGAAGCTTTGAGCCACCTCAAAACCTTCTGCCAGATTCCCGCAAAATTGGTACACTCAATGAAAAGGTGAGTTGTCGACTCTTCCTTGCCGTACCCACCGACACAGGTTATTGTCTTGACATAAAACACACATTCTAAATAAATTATCTTTAGATGAGAGTCTATTATGGAATAGACTCCAAATTAGACACGACACCTTTAGAGAAACCGCCCTAATCCAAGTCGTTGCCCATTCCATGTTGTTTTTCGGCCTGCCTATTGCCCTCAAGGCTTTGTATCTATCCTTAACAAAGTATTCCCCCAAATTCTCAAAGTCGCTCACATCTACACTACAAATATCTTTCTACCACAATGAACTATGCATATCGAACACTTTTGATAAACTTTCACTATTATTATACCTCTTCCATAGAACTTTAAACCATAACCTTTTTCTTTCCTTATTGATTTTTCAAGCCCTTATTGATTTTTCAAGCCCTTATTGATTTTTCAAGCCCATTTACCTAAAAGAGACATTAAAATTATCTAAATTTTTTATACCCAGCTCTCCATCTTCTAAAAAAGTGCATACATTCCTCCTCCTGCTCTCTATTCCTCCAAAAAAAAATGAATTCATAATACCTGTAAAAACTTTGAAAAAGAAAAAGAAGTGCATACATTCCTCTTTCTGCTCTCTATTCCTCCAAAAAAAAAATGAATTCATAATACCTGTAAAAACTTTGAAAAAGAAAAAAAAATAGATTGAAATTACCGTCAAGACAAATTTTAAAACTATCACTTTACGGTAAATTGATAAATTCTTAATCGAGATTCCATAAATATAGATAAATAATATTAGAGAAATGTTATTCTTACACCTTTAGAGAAATGTTATTCTTACACTTAAGATATATACTATACCGTATTTTAGTGTTCACGAATACGATAAACAGTAAAATATTATAATAATAATTTTTAAAAAAAATATAATAATTAATAATAATTTTTTTTAAAATATATAAATATTATTTATTTTTTAATATTTAATCGTTTATTAACTAAATTTATAACTTCGTTAACTAATTTTTTAATTTTATTAACCAAACTTTGTTTTATTAAAAAAGATTATTAAAAACTAAATATAAAAATAATATTAAAAAAATGTAAAGTTTTATTAAAAAAGATTATTAAAAACTAAATATAAAAATAATATTAAAAAAATGTGCGATTAATGGATATGACCATAATGGATATAACCATTATGCTGTCCATTATGCGATTAATGACATTCAATGACCTTATCTCAAATCCAATAGAAGCATAATTAATATAAAAGAGAAAGGCCGAAAAAACAGACTAAGAAAATTATCTACTATGATTATTTCTAACGAACATAAAAAAAAGTTTTTTTATTTAATTTTCTTTGCATGAACACAAACTTTGTGTTTGATAAATATAATTTAAATATCTAAAATATAATTCCTTAACTCATTAACAGTACTTTATCAGCAAATTCATTAAACTACTCTCCTATAAGGGTGGATATCCGCATGTACAATTTTTTTTTTCATTTAAAAAATTAGTGATTTGATTAATATATTATATTATATTAAATGTTAATTTAAATTATATTATTTAGATATTTGAATATTTTAAAAAAATTAGACATTATTTTGAATGTTTGTTAGAATTAAAAAAAAATGGAAAAAAATCTTAATTCTCTACTTTCATATTAAATATATAATTTATAATGGCACGGTTTTAATTATATGATTTCAATATTACTTAAAAGAAAGTGTTTTTTAAAAAGAAAAAAAAAACAATAATTTTGTGCCAAGATATTTATTTATTCAAATTGAAATACAACTGAATGACACGGAAAGTTTCACAACATCATTTGAAAAAAGAAAAAGAAATGCGCCAAACGAGACGATGGCTCAAAAAGAAAACAAACATACAACTTCACAACTTCACAACCGGTGAGTACCGCCAGTTCCATACCCGGTGGCATTCGGATTTCCGCCGGTTCCAGTGGTGTGGTGTCGACCCTGTCCCAAGGTGTTCCCAGCCATTGCCGCTGCGTTGTGTTCACGCGCCGCCTGCTTATCCAGCTCAGCCTGGGAAACCCTTTCTTCTTTCTTCTGTGTTGCCAACTCCTTTTCCAAGGGATCACGTGCCGTCATCCTCTCAGTCTTCTCCTGGACGTTAGCTTTGGTCTTCTCCAAACCAGATTTGGCTGAAGCACCAACGTTAGCAGCTGTTTCTTTGATAGACTCTCCGGCTTTCTTTCCTCCACCCTGCATTTTTAGACTTTACCTTGTTCAAATATGAAGTGTGATTTTTATAAAACTTGGTTTTCTTTTTCTTTGGATATGTTGAAGAGTACAAGCATTCTATCCATTATATAGATTTAGGTATCACTTTGTTTTGTGTACACGTGTTAGATTATTGAGCACGTGGCGAGTTGGTAAGAACTTTATACACCTGTTTGCAAAACGACAGTATGGTGAAGATTTGTGTCGGTCGGTTATCATCATCTAAAAAGATATGCCGCGGATCGGGTTACTTGTAACAAGTGAATGTAATGGTTTGTTATGTTATAGTTCGTCTTGATTGAAATAAATAAGGCTACTTTCAACGTGAACTCTATTCGATGATCAACATATTATTACTACTATCTTTTTCTTTCTTTTTTTTATAATTATATGATTATAAATATAAATTATTTTGTAATATTAATAAATTATTAATGTTATTTATTATTTTTTATTTTAATTATGTGAATTTACTTTTTTTAATATTATTAATAAATAATTTTTTTAAATCATTTATAATTTTTTTTCTATATTATAATTATTATATTTTTTTAATACATGTAAAAAATTAAAAACAACTTATAAAAAAAAGGAAGAAGTATTATTATTAGGGTCTTGATAACAATGACTTCAAATATTTTTAATTTTTTTAAATAAATAAAATATTTTATAAAAAGTTAATTATTTTAATTTCTAAAATATTAAATATGTATTTTTAAATTTTTAAATTTTAAAGAGTGCTCTTGGACCATTTCTTAGTATTTTCATTATTATTATTATTATTATTATTATTATTATTATTATTATTATTATTAATCAAAAAGTAAAAGTGTGTATGTTTCTCCTACAAGAGTAAAGAGACTTAAAGGTCTTGGTATGTTTATAACACGTTTTGGTGGTGAGGGTTTGTTCGCGGCAGTAAAAAATCATGTGTGGTAGTTGTCGCAACTGCGAAAAACACCCAGCGAAAAAACAAAAGAGTCACCAGCGAACGTTATTTATTCTAAAGAGAGGGAAATAAATGATCGAAGAAAACCTGAAGAACGGGAAAAGACAAGGTCATCGCAACCAAATCTTGGGTTCGAGAGTCGGTTACGTAAGGGGAAGGTATTAGCACCCCTCACGTCTGTTGTACTCAACGGGATCCACGCTTGTTGTCTAATCAAATGGTGTGTTATCTAAAAGCTATTACTAAACGGAAACGAAAACAAAAGAAAAAAGAAAGAGACTCGATAGGACATCGCCGCCCTATGCCTACGTATTCCCTCGTGCAATGGGAAAGTCAGAGTCAACGTGGTTCGGACAACTACGGGTGAAGGGGGAAGGTTGCTCGCCAATACATCGTCGTTTTGTGCCTACGTATCCTCATCTGGTATGAGAAATCAGAGCAAACGTAGTTCGAGTAACAAAACCACATGTTGGTTAAGTGTTTTTTATGAGCGACGTTAAGCTCCCATTTCAAAAGTTAGGGACGATGCCTGTTTGCGGTAGAACGGAAAAGTAACGTACTCTTTTCTGAAAATGAGTTTACAACACAAGTCCAGAAGGATAAAAGGTTTGACTTTTGCTTATGAGTTTTAGTTAAGTGAATTAGTTTGCTTGGTAATTCACGTTGCACTAAAGACTATGACATAGGAGCGAATGTGTCGCATATCGTTCAAAGGGCATACACGAAACACTCTAGACAAGTGAGAAGAAACCCTCACTCATCATTTTCCATGTGCTCAAGGCTCGTAGCGTACAACATTCATCGTATTTATTAGATGAGTTAGAAAGTGTTTTGAGATGAGAAGAGAGACGCACGAAAGGCCTAAGGGAAACTCGGTCATAACGTTGTCATGCAAAGTGGTCCTAAGGTTGAGATGCAAAAGGAGATTCTATCCTAATGTTAGCATGCAAAAGATGTGCCTAAGGTTGAGGTTAGAAGGGACTAGCCTACTTGTTATCATGCTTGGATTAAAATCCTAATGCTTATCCTACTCCAAATTTAATCGAAAATTAAATTGGAATAAGAAACCTAAGGGAACATGCAAAGGCAAAGCAAAAACAAGAAAACAAGGCAAAAACAGTAGCTACAACAACGCCTCCTGCACAAGATAGCAATATAATCTAGCATACAAGCAAGATGGCCTATAACAGCATACGTTTCAGCACAAAAGTAGGTGTAAAAGGGTAGGCAGCAAGCAAGCAAGCAAGCAAGGCAAAGACAACATGCAAATTCAAAACAAGAACAACTGTGAAAAGCAGGGCAACAAGCATTGTTTGAATATAATTAATCAAAAACAAACACCCATTATGGATAGATATCATGCAATCATGAACATGCTTCGACAATCAAACATAATCGGTCAACAACATTGAATCAACAAGAATTATCAAGATCAAAACGCTTTTCCATTCAAATTGAACGATCAAACGATCAAACAAGCACGCAACAAAGCGGAATTAGAAATAAATGCAAATGTGCGTCAAACATTGTTGCACCCCAAAATTTGACCAACATTTATTTACCTAGCTTATGTTTCATTTCATTCACATTAGCATTATCATTTGCATTTCATTGACATGTATGCAGGAGATCAAGAGGTATGAGTACCAATCAAGAGCTACACAAGACTATGAAGCTAGCTAAGAAGGCTATTCAAGTGTTCAAGGGTTGATATCCTTGTCAGAGAAGTCAAGAGATCCTCAGAGAGAGTGGTTGAAACCAAGAGGGTGTGTCTCCTAACTTGAGAGTTGTGGGAAGACCTCAGATGATTCTGAAGCCATGAATGTAGACTTGAAGCCTTGAGAGAGCTTATGAGATGTCTTGAAAGCCATCATGAGGCCTAGATAGGTCATTGTGCAAGATTAAGAAGACTCAGCCATGAGTGGTGTAATTAGGGTTTGACTGGGTCAACCCTAGGTCAACTGATGACTTGGAGGAAGTTGAGACCTAATCCAAGAGCCATGTGATCATGGATTGATGCATTGAGATGCTATAAGGATGATTCCAAAGTCAACTCATCATGATTAAAGAGTTTGAGAAGTTTCAAGCTAGGGTTTCTAAGGCTTGACAGTGTAAAATCCCCTAGTTTGACCCCTATCTTCAAGGCAATTTAGCTCAAGATGTGATTGTCATCTCATCTTACCCCCAACATGAATGTTGTAGAGAATGATCTTAGATTTAATTTTAGTGTTAGAAGTCCTTGATAGGATTTATAGAACTCAAGTTATGACCTTGACAATTTACAGGTCATCTGAAGTATGTGAATCTGGGGCCTTGAAAGTTACCCAACTTGCATCAAACTTTTGCCCAAGAAGGATGATTCCTATGAACTTTTGGTCAACATGAATGTTGTTACTTATCTTCTTAGATTTCTATAGAGTACTAGAAATCCTTGATAGGATTTGTAGAACTCAAGTTATGGCTTTGACAAGTCAAGGGCATTTTGGTCATTTGGAGATTACAGGTCATTTCAAGCATAGGGCCATAACTCCTATTTCCAAGCTTCAAATGGAAAAATCTTCAACATCAAACTTGTTCAAAATGATGTTTTAAGGCTAGTAAGGAGGTCATGAGATGATGGAAATTCTTGTAGCTCAAAGTTGCAAAAATGACCTAAAATAAGGGCATAAGTTAAATAAACCAAAGTTGGAAATTGATATTTTCAACCTACACATCCAAACCATGGCATGTAATATATCATTTTGACTCTAGAAAACATTTTAAGAACATTGGTTTAGCCACATTTTTGAGTTGAGATTCAATTCATGGACTTGCTTTGAAAAGCACTTGCTTGCATATTAAGTAACATGTGCATAACTCAAAATTAAGGCATGAGCAAGGAACTTGGCAAGCTAAACCCTTCCAAAATGTCACTAGGGGAGAAATTGAAAGAGATTGAGATGAATTTCAAGCTGCAAACAGAATTGAGCATGTCATGATACATGATTGAAAATCTCATGACATGAGAAGTGGAAAATCTCATTGGAAGGATCTAGAGGGTTCTAGATCATCCAAACTTCATCTATATAAGGAGTAGAGTGGATCCATTGAAGAGGTTGGTGATCATTGAAGGATTGAGCTTAGTTTGAGATTGAATTTTCATAGCTTGCAATTGAGATCGGTTTCACCAAATTCCTCATTCTCCATCCATTTTCTTGATTGATACTCCTTCCATGAATGTCAAGGAGTGATTCCAGATCATTTTCAAGAAGAATTGGTGGCTAGATCGTGTATGAGCAAGTGATTTTCAGCACCTGCAACTCATCATCGTGTTTCAAGATTGAAGCACTTTCCATTGATTCTTTTGCATACAAAAGCAAGGAGGAGGTTTAGTGATCGTGTCCAGAAGATTTGAGAGCTTGAAGTGAAGATTTGGTGAATCTGTTATTCAAGAATTTCCAGGTTGGTAACCTTCTTCCTATAGCATGATTTAGGTAGAATTAGGGTGCTAGATTGATTGTAGAATGGCATAGGATGGATTTCAGATGGTTAATTGATGAATTAGAGACAAATTAGGAGAATTGCCATTTTCGGTTGAGATTGGGAGATGATGATTCTTGAGGTTTCAGAAGAAACTATGGGTATGGTTGAATTCGTGGCAAGATTTGGAATGAGTTTCATGTTTTGACCTCTTGGATTGGAGGCCTCTATGGAGAACTAGGGTTGAAGGGGATGGCCGGAGTTCCACCGGTGGTGGCCGGAGCTGGGCGCGAAGCTCAGAGGTTTGAAAGGTAGGAGATGAAGTTTACACCATTGGATCTTGTTTTGACCTTTGACTGGAAGCTGATCCAAGGGCCACGTTTTAAGATTGAATTGTGAAGGATTTCTGATGATGAAACGATGCGTTTCATTTATTCAGTGCTTTGGGCTTAGTAATCTAAGTGTTATTCGCACCCCCTGATGGCCCAACCCAGATTTTTAACTGAAAATGACTGCTATTTACACCGCGCGCTTATTCATTTTAATTGGACTTTCTTATTATTTTCATTTTATCCATGGT